TAAGATCCGCTGCACAGAAGTGAGTGCGTTTCTTATGTCAACACTTTTCCTTGCTCTTATTTTGGTAATGTCTTAAATCGTTCTTTAGAGGCAGACTTTATTGGCTGTACTTTTCAAACAGAGGGGAATAATAAGTAGTTGCAACTTAATCGGCCGTATAGCTGCAGAGAGGGTTTTTTTTTTTCCCCGAGTACTTTTATGTCCCATAATGAGCTGGTATTTTATAACTTCTGATGGTAATGTATTCCACATGCCTTCCATCACTAGGATAAAGAGCTTTACTCCAGAATCCAAAGCAAGTGGCTGTGGGTATTTATTTAATAAGTTTAGAAGTCTTTGCACTAGGCGGGATGGCAGTATGTTGCATACCTGGAGCTTCCTCAGGCTGCTCAGGGTGAGGTCTTAGGCCGTTAACATCATGGAAAGATCACTGGTGTCCCAGCCATGCTTCCCATGGAGCAGTGTAGGGTTCATGGTTCCAGTCTCACCATTTCAGTCAAATTCCCTGCTTTTTTCTGTCCTTGTTCTAAATACCACTAGTTTTCCTCCAGGACCTGGGACAAGCTAAAACTGATAGGAAATCAACCATGAATGTCAAGATAGCTGAATGAGTGGTCTGCTCATAATTCCTTGAGGCATCTCCTGTAATGCCTCATGCAGAACAACAGTCCTGTTGTGGGGTGCTTAGGATTTGCTGTAGTCTTGGAGTTCTGACAGGAATGAAAAATAATCTTTTTTTATGGTTTCTTGTTAAAATACTCAAACTGCTCTGGTTGGGCTTAGCATTTGAAAAACATGTTCTGGTATGTGACTCTTCTAGATGTTCCGGCATATTTGTCTCCACTCTGATCAAGGCACCAATAATTATCGTGTAAGTTTTTGCAAGGATTCAGATTTGTCTGTCGGATCATGAAGGATCATCGTTATCATTTTACCTGCACGGCTTCAGTATAATATCACAGGCCCCTGTGAAAACTCACTTGCTCCCTTTGGGTATAGTTAAAACTGAAGAAAAATCTGAATGTGAGTCTCATGCAGTCTTCTAAATCTCAAACAGGAGGTCTGTGAGACTGACTGAGGAATGTTATTTCAGTAACTGCTGATGCTTTTACTGAAAACGGTGCTTTCACTGGCACTGGTAGGTTACCTCAAAACCAACTCATTTTTGATGGTGATGCTATGGTGGTGCCATAATTTGTGGTCTTTGATCCTTAGCTTAAAGGCAAGTCCAAATTGTCCTATCCCTCCTGTAAACTAGGAAGAAAATGCTCGTTTGCCCCGACTATTGTTATCTTCTGATTTGGTTATTTCCCAGGCTGCAAAAAAAGGCAGGTACATTTATGAGGCTTTTCCTTGTCCTCCGCTCCCCAGCGTGTTGGGGATGAGCCCTCTTGCAGGAGCTGTGCCATGTTAGGATCACTTCACACTGTTTCCAAGTCCCATCCGGCTTCTGTTGTGGCAGAGCTCACTGTCATTTAAACCTTCCTGCTTTTATGCTCTCCTGGCAGCAAATATCTGAGCTCTTTAAAGCTGCAGTCTGTCCAAGCTTAGCTTCCGGTAGGCAAGGCTGCTTCTTGTCAAACAGCTTTTGCTTGCAGTTACCTGCAAAACTTCTGTGGATTTAGGGATCTGGTTCCATGACTAGTTGGTATGTCCTTGAGTAACCTCTACTTTAAAATAAGCCAGTGGCTTTTGACTTTTTTGTTCCCCCCATTTGTGTGATAATAGAACGCTGCGATACTATCAAGTCTCAATGATTACAAACCTTTAGCAGGAAGAAAACTGAATGATATATGAGCAGATTGCATCTCAGGCAACAATGTGCGATCCAATAAAACATGGGTTTTTCAAGTTACAGAATCCTAGATTTGTGGAAGAGCCCAGGTTGGAAGGGACCTCAGAAGATCATCTGGTCCAACCAGATGGTTGGTTATGTAGTGAAGTAGACAAGAATAGGAAAAGAGAAACCATTTGCTTTAGTGAAATAGGTCCAGTATTTTATTTCTGTATGTTGTAATCAGGAATATTCTAGCTTTCATGTAGCAAGGGGCAGTACTTGCTGGGAAGAAACACCGTAAATTCTTCAGAGAGTTCGAAAGGGCTGTTGTTTATCTATATATAAAAATTTAGTTTTTATATACATACCTATATCTATCTATGTGCCTCTGTAGGAATAACTGAAGTTTCTTACCCTGGTAATTTTCCTATCAAATCCAAAGTTTGAGAGAGAATGTATGGTTCATAGCTAGCATGAATACTTCTAGTGATACCTTGTTCTGGCTTTTCTAGTAAACATTTACTGATGGTACTAATTGTTACTGTGACTTGTGACTTACAATCTTTGTGAATTTCTATGAAATTTGAAGAACCACCTTTTTTAGAGACTTCTGAGTAGTTTTACAGGTTGGGCTATGCCTAACTTCACGTAGCTAGTCCAAGAGAGTCTGGTCCTAGGAAGAGGGTTTCTCAGACTTCTGATTTCACCTCCTGCCCCATAACTTCTCTGAAGACTAATTTTTCAGCGCCCAGTGCAGTAGTCATTTTACCACAAGACTAGGCAGGGCAACATTACTTCTCTATTGCTCCTGAATGCTGTCGTGTTTCCTGCCAAGCTTCTTGGCCACAGCACTGTAGCGGGAGCTCATCCTCTTTGTTATCCACCATAATCCCTGAGAACTTCTGAGGTTTAGCGTTTTCCAGGACACAAGTCTGCCCGTATTAAGTGTGAGTTACGCCCTTTGTTCCTGGATGGGTAAAGTTGCACTGGGTGATACTAAAATGCATGTTGCTAAATGAGCGTGGCTTCCCGAGGGATTGAGGTTGTGCTTTACAATCCTAAGGGGTTCAGTCAGCAGTGGGTTGTGCTTTGCCAGTGAAGTTAGAGAGCATACAGCCAGAAACAGGTCCTAGAAAATGACTGTAAAATGTCACTTTTGAGGTGAAACTCCCCACAGCCCTGACAACTATTCCTTGTGTATCCATACTATTAGTACTTGCCAGGCACTTTTTACTCCGTTACAGAGATTTTATTGTTTCTGTGTGTGGTTAATCCTTTAATCAATGCTTTGTAGCATGGAGTCCATCATTCTGCACGAGCTGGGTAAATTATCAGTTACTTTAGCAACCACACTTTTCGTACTCCAAATGTAAAGTTTGATTCAGCTTTTGTGTTTAATTAAGGCTGAGTTGCTCTATTTTACTCACTTGTATTCCCTGTCAGTCTTTCTGTAGCTTTGTGTAGAATGGATGTCCCCTGTGCCTGTCTATTCTGTTGGGCAAAATGTTTATCCATAGCTTCTGTTGTTGGATTTGAATTTGCTTGGCAGTGAAATTACTGCTTTCTTGGGGCACCTATTTTTGTATTAGATGCCGATACCCTGCACGCATTAAAGTTTCAGCCTTTTAGCTTCAAGCAACAGCGATGTTTGTGTGGATCCAAACTGGCAGACATGGGTAGCCTAAATGCTAGTGTTTATTAGAGCAGAGCAAGGCTTGAGGGTGACTGTGCCAAATCTTGGCTCATTAAACCAGCAGGGAGATTCAAGAAGGCTGCTTTTAAAGATAAGGGCAAGAATTGGCGCAGGGTAGGCAGGGGTGAGAGAATGGCAGTGGTTGGTGTCTTCTATCTTCCCATAGATAATTTGAAGGGAAGAGCAGACTCATTCAGACAAATGAGCTGTCATACAAGCAGGAGTAATAGCAAGTTGGAGTAATAGTGTGCAGCAGTTGTCACTGCCACAGTTTAATTGGCACTGGTCTGAAACATCAGGATTGGAAGACAGGATCGACTCTCTGCTTTTCTCGAGTCCTAACTAGTTACTGATGCCTTGATTTTTAAGAATCTTGGTAAAGATTAGTGTAGGAAAATGAGTGATTTATCATAATGGGGAACCTACTTGGAATTAACATAGTCTTTGGTTTGCTTATCCAGGGGAGCACTCTTCCACAAAATTTCACCCACGCTGGTATTCTTCCAGAAATTTAACTGGTTTAACTTGAACGTGATTACCTCTTGTATGTGTTTGCAGAAGACTTAGTATATTTGGATGACTCAGATCTGGGCTGGGATGCTTAAGGTTTGATAAGGTAACTTGATGTGGATCAATAATTCAGATTAGAATGAACAAATTGTGCTTCTTCCCATTTATCTCTTAAAAAACCATGATCCTGTAAGAGCAGATACAAGAGATGCTTGGTTTTGTGTTGCCATTGTTAATGATGGTTTCTATAGAGTAGAATCTTATTAATAGATTAGATTAGTAGAATCCGAGCCATTTAAAGTAATTTAACACATTTGGTCTAATTGGTAGTCTTGCTAATAATCTGAATTATTGTAAATAGTGAATTCATTGCAATACAGACAAAAGAACTTTACTATTTCCAAAGCTCTGCTCAGACTGAAGCAGGGTCTTTGAGTGATTTCATCTAGGTTGCATCCATTTACGTTGTGGCTGAGTGTACTAGCTCTGCTGTGGGATGTGGACTGAACAGGGTGGGCTGGAGAGGGTACAAACGGTATTCTTTGGGAAGCTATTGAAGCTATTCAAACCATGACCTTAAGGATGCCCAGAAAAGATATGGAAACCCAAAGGTGTGGGTCAGCATGCAGTACATCACCCCTTTTTGCAGTTACCAACAGTTGAGTTCGCGTTGGCTGTTAAACAATTAATTACTGTTGAGGATGAACATTTGATTTCCAGATCCCATAGAGAAGACTGGTACCGTTAATTGGTACTTCTGTGACTATTGCAGATCACTTCATGTACTGCACAACCATGGTCTGCTCTCCGTGATACCAACCTGTCATATACCTCTACCTATGAAAGAAGCCTGTCCTGAAGCTGATATTAAATTACCTGCTTGCATGGTTTTGAAGCTGTGTTTTGTTTGTCGCGCTGCAGTCTGTAGCTTGAAAACATGCTGATGAAGTCTCAGGATGACTTGAGTGAAAGAGGCAAAGATTTTCCGTGATTAAGTGGATGCTTTTGTTTCTATTTCAGGAAAGCCCCACAGCATTGGCAGCTCCGAACGGATTCAGCTCTCAGGAATGTACAATGTTCGAAAAGGGAAAATACATTTGCCAGTCAACAGATGGACAAGACGCCAAGCTATCCTTTGTGGAACATGCCTAATTGTCTCATCAGTAAAAGAAAGCCAGACTGGGAAGATGCATGTCCTCCCTTTAATTGGTGGAAAAGTAAGATATTTTATGTTTTATTTGCTTGTTTAACCTCTATCTCTTTTATGCAGAGAGGACTGCATTAAATTATGATGATTCTTATGCCCTCTAAAGCTTGTTTCTGTAAATGGGCTTATCAAAGTATATAAATGACTTTTGACTATTCTCTGAGTCATATTTAACAACTTACAGCATTTGGTTTAAGATGCTAAAGAAAAGCAAGGGAAACATGTTCAGTTTCCTTTCACATGTGCAGGTGTTAAATGTTTTATACATGCAATAGTACACAGCCAAAGGATACATGCAACCGTATTGTGTATGATCTGTGCCATGCCTCTTCATTCAGCTTTTATCCTTGCTGGGTTATGCTAAGATCTGAAAATTAACCAATAAGGGCATGGGCTTATTTTCAATATTAGGGGTTTTTTTGAGTGTTCAGCATTGTATGAGTAGTGGTCTAACATTACCTAACAGCAACAAATGTTTTTTGCTTGTGAAAAGCTGAAACTGGCCTTTTTTTTCTGATTGATTATATCTGAAACACAGGAGGTCCAGTCTGAACACAAGGAAAATGTGGGGGTTTTTTTCACTGTGAGGATGACTGAGCACTGGCACAGGTTGCCCAGAGTTCCTGCTTGAGTGGGGGAGTTGGACCAGCTGGCCTTCAGAGGTCCCTTCCCACCTCAACTGTGCTGTGATTCTGTGAAAATTTAGTGAAGACAGTAAGGTTCAGAACACCGTTATTGGCTTGATTAGCCAAGATAATGGGAGGAGAATAATTAGCTTGAGGATGAATTTACACCTGAAATAATGCTCTTTTGCCTTGCATACAGGTAGGTTTGATTCTTAGTAGTCATTGGGAGAAAAACAAGCTTCACAATGTTTTATGTGCAGACTAAAGTTGATTCGTTAATATTCTATACTAGCACTGTGGAAAGAAGTCCCTTCTTCTAGGAGCTGTTTTTCCTAACTCCTTTCATGATTCTTCATATGATTCTTCAGATCTTCCCTGGAGGTACTGAAGTAGAGACATTTTCCCTTTAGAAGCAGTGGGTGAACTCTGACAGTGAATTGTATTCCTGCCTATAGCTCACTGGAGAGGACAGGATTCAGGTCCCCATTGGCCTTCTCTTTGACATGAAAACGATTATTTTTATTTTTTTAAAATTTAAAAAGATAAGAGATTGTGTACCTCTTTTTAATTGCTTAACATGGAATTTCTAGGTTGTTTTTGCACAGAAATTCCTCGTGTAATATAAAACATGCAGACTGTGTTAAGAAAAAAGTTGACAACAAATTTTAAAAGAAAAGGAGAACTAAGCTGAGAAAAATGTACTGAGGGCTTCTGTTGACAAAGCTTGGGAGGAGGATGCTTGGCAAAGAACTAAGTGTTTTTTAAATTATCACTCAAAAATATTCTTCCTCAACCCCATAAATACTCTGCACTTCCTGGTTTGCAAAGGCTTTCCAGAATGCGATGCTGAGACATTGAGACCATAAGTTGTGTGGGACTTCTCGTGTATGGTAGCAGAATGATGTATTCTGGGTGTTTTTTAGCAAGTTGAGAAATGCCAGAGAATTTAATTGGGCTGTAAGAGAAGCATTTTGTTAAGCCTGTTTTTAATAACCAGGAGTATGAATAGTACTTCTTTAGATTGTAGAAAGACAGCATTAAATATGTTTCACTGGGAAACCTTTTATGGTGCTCAGTATCTCTTAAAATGTAGATGTTCTTTGTGGTTTTCTCATTTGGTTCCTTTGTCCTTCTCTTCTCATTCCTTGGTTGTGTAGATTTCATGATTATTTGACAGCCAAGATCCAGCTTGAGTGCTTGAGAGGGTTAGTGCAACTCTACTTAAAGAGCTTCTCTTGAGCACACTTTAACTTTGCCCTGCGGAGTTCTACAAAGAGGCTTTTGATTCTTGTTCACTAACAATTTTGTTTCTCTACCTTAGGTGGAGGAAGTGAAAAAGCACCAGCACTGTTTAGCATTTAGCTCCTCTGGACCTCAAAGCCAGACCTACTACATTTGTTTCGATAACTTCACTGAATACTTGCGATGGCTTCGACAAGCATCAAAGGTGAGCATAGTGCTAATTCCTGCCTGAATGGGTTGTTTGCAGCGTTTCCCCCAGTTCTGTCTTCTCCATGCAGCAATATAGTCCCTCTTCTGGGTTCATTATCACAAACTGCTGCTGCTATTAGTGGTGCAAAAAAACCCCCTCAGTTTGGGAGCTCTTAATAACAAGCAATAGGGGAGTGAATTTTTATGCATTTATACTGAGACTTCTTTCTACCATGGTTGTATAAGTAAAGTGCTGTGCTGTGCTTTCTCTTTTTTTCTCACCTTGATCCAGCTGGACAGGAGGAGTGAGATCATTAAAACAAAATGGATGACAAATATAAGGGTCAAAATTTCAGTTTAAAAAGCTTTGTTTCCGTGTTAATAAAACCTAAAGTAGAGTTGGATTTTTTTAATTTGTTCTATACACAGAGCCTAAAGATTAAACTGCTAGAATTAAGGATTATTTTTTTTCTTGCTTGGAAATGTTGCTGAATCTATCTTATAAAATTATTTGATTCTTATTTTTTTAATAAGAAATCATTTTATGTCAGTAAAAAAAAATTAACTGAAGGCTTCATAAACTAAATTTTATACTGTGTTTAGACCACAATTTATTATGGGAATTTAGGTCCTGCATTATTTTGACTCTTCAGTTCCACTTCATGTTGTTGAAAGGTTGTTTTTGCAATTAGCTGTTTTATCTCATAATCCCTCCCACTTTTTTTGATAAATCCTCTCTAAAGTAATTTACATATCTTGAACTGCTGATTTTTTGTTTTTAACACAAAAGTTCTTTTGCTCTGCTGTCAACACTCCCTCTTTCGTTTTCTACTTGGGCCTAAACTGTCCATTAGTTTTAAACTTCATAGGGCTGTCTGTTCATACTCTTTGCTATGTTAAAGCAGCTTGGTTTTATGTAGTACTACTTAAAGAAATTTATGGCGCACTAGATCTGTTCTGTCTTTTTAGATTGCAGTAATGTATTATCCAGCATATTGCCAGTGGTACAGCCTGGGTTGTGGGGTTTTTTTAAGAGGTTTGATTATTATAGCAAACTTTCTTTGAGCAGTAACTATTGCACCTCCCAGCGCATGCATAATTTAAAATGTCCTTTATATTTTTCCTAGTAAATTTTAAAATTATCTTTAAAGATGCTGTTCTGGCATCCCTGCTCAGGTCTGTTAAGCCTCAAGGTAAAAATCCCCAAGGCATGTTTTATGAAACGGTGAGGCATGGTCTGTCAGGTTTTTGAGTTCTTGCCGTTTTGTGGCTCTCTGGGAGTAGTGCCCTTTCATCTCCAGAGGCTTTGACATCAGATAAACGAAAGGCAAATCTAATGAGTGAGAAAAACACGGGAAAACAATGAACTTCAGAAGTAGAGATAAATGGCCAGAAAGCCCCTCTGAATTACTGGCAACGTAAGCCTGTTCTGTGCCATGCTGTGCTTCTCTCTTTCTCTCTGCTTCACCCAAATGACTAACAGCATTGGGACGATAGCCAGCATGAGAACATATCCCCATGCACTCATGATATCCTCCCATTTTCCTTATGTAAGAGAAAGAAACACATAGTCTGAAGTGTCTTTTCAGACTGTCAGAACTGAGGAAACTTACTATGCTATTTTTTTTGTCTGTAAAACATGCTTCGAGGGGAAAAATTATGTTTTGTTTTTCCCAGCTCTCCACCACCCAGCCCCAAAACCTGAGACTTGGCCTTCTGGTTTCATGGATTTTGAAACAGTATTTTGCCGCCTCAAGTTGCTTTTTTACTGTTTGGGTTTTCTATCCTTAGACTGAAAAACAGAGACAAGCATGATTGGATGCAAGGCAGTTGTGTGGGATGTACTGTGCAGTAACACTGTTTCTGAAGAACAGAAACAGAGAAACTAGGAATTCTGCAAAAGTAACTCAAATTTCCTCCAGCTGATGCAGTTGGTGTCCAAGAGCACAGTTGTAAAGTGCCTCATCCCTGATTTACATGTACAAATAAATGAGAAAAGGTTTCATCTTCAGCTCTGTAGTTCAGACAAGCTAGTGTTCTCATGCAGTAAAGAACCCAACATTCATATAAGGTAATCTGCCGCAGGTGTTTGGAAGCTACCGAAGTTCAAAGAAGTTGAAATATTATTGCTAACCAAGAAAATACTGCATAAAGCATTGTATGTCTAAAGGCAGCAAATGTAGGAAGGGAGAAGTTATGGCTCTATCTTTGAGCTTCTAGTTGTTTCTTACGGGGTAGGTCACATGATGCTTACAGATTCTTCTTTAATCGTGGTGGTGTATATAGTACTTGCACTTTTGTGAATTATTATGAATAATACTTAAGACTGTATTTTAAATATAGATGTTATTTAATGGCATTTGTTTTGAAACTGACATTCGTGTTGTGTTCAGTTTTTCTGCAGTCCTTCAAGCTTCTGATGCATGCTGCTGAAAAGTGAGGTTTCTGATACTTACAAGTGTAAATGAAAGCTTTAATTATAAATTTGAATGCGGAAGGAGATCCCTGGTAAAATCTTTCATTAAAATTGCTCAATTCAGTTTAACTATGGAAAAAAAAAATTGTCTGTCTTCTGCATACTTCAAAAGAGCTAGAAGATGATGTTATTTTAACTTTTAAATAACAAGCTTAATCTTGAAAGGAGACTTTGCAAAGAATGCTTGCTCTGCAGTCTTTCTCCCCACAGAATATTGGCAATGTTGACTTTTTAGTGATGTTCCAGAATGAGACAAATCGTAACGCATCACTCCTGCAATAAGTGTATATATATGCTAGAGAACATTTGAATTCATGTTTGCAGAGACTTGGGCTGAATTTAATTAAAAATGAACATCGCTCCTGTATGATCTGATTCATTCTAACAGTGAAATCTATCTTAGCTGAGACAGCTCTCATGCTCTGCCCCAGTAAATTTTTGGAAGGGGTTTGTGAATAGGTGTTAGGATTGGTTTTCCTGTATGTGTGTGTCCTGAGGTGAACAGAAGTCCTGTTTTCAGGACAGACTGGAATTATTGCACAAATACTGACCTAAATATCAAATTTGGTGACATACTTACTCCAAATAGGTCACTTTTAGATATGCTGATTTAGCCTCAAACAGAATATTTTTAAAAGCTGGAACTGTGGCTTGGTTGTTAATATTGATAATTCTATACGACAGTGCATTTCTTTCCTTTTACTTCCCAAATACTGGAGTCCTAATTAAGGAAGCTCAAAAGGAAAACAACAAATAATTTGGTCCTTTGTGATCTAATATGTTCATTCTGTTGCCAAATGTTGAAAAAATAGGCTTATGCAACGGGGAGGGGGAGTGGTGGGGGAAGAAAGGGATATCTTCATGGTTTTAAAGAATTTTGTCTGCGTGAAGTTGGCATGATGGTTCTGGAACCCACACAAATACTTACAGAGCAATTCTGATCTGCCACTGTTTACTACTTGAATGTCAAATGCAGAAGAATGGGTGAAGAATGTGCGGTTAACAGCGAAGAGGGCATGATGAGGGCTTTCCTCATTTGCCACTTCAAAAACCCAAAAAACTGCACCCTTCATGTAGCAGGAGAGGTTATATGTATAAGGTGTTACTGAGTGGTGGAACTGGCTGTTGTAGAGGCTTCTGTTTCGGGTGTGGTGGCGAGCTCCTGCTGTTTGACACTTCTAACAGCTAAACTTAGTTTAACATTTTTCAACATGTGAAGTTGCTGTGTAAGTGTTGACTACTATACAACTCATGATGTGGATGGTTTGGCTAGAGTAAAAAAGGCTTATCAGTCCTCCATGTTCCAAGGCATACAATTAAAATGGAATGCCAACATCTGCCTCAGAAATTAAGTACTGCAGAGCTTAGGCAGGGACATAGTACAGAATTTTATGTTCTTGGGAATAGCATGCATCACTGGGCGTGCTGAGACGGGTTATCTGACCCCACAGAACTTCTCCCCTCTTGGCTTTAGGAGAGCAGGAAATGTGTCGGCAGCTTCGTGCGACAATTGTTTCCTGCTTTAGTGCTCGGTTCAACTGGGCAAGTAGAGGAAGAGAGGTGATGAAAGGCAAGGATTATAAATAATGCATGACTGCCTCACGTAGACTGCTTGTGCATGGCGATGCTATACATGTGGAGAGGTAGAGATGTACAGGCACGCAGCTGTGTGTGTGTGTGCACACCATCGGCTACCCAGGCTGAGTTGCAGAGCTGTGCTGTAGTGATAGCGTGTTCGGTGGGGGAGAAGCTGTTGTGTGGGCCTTAGGTGCCGGGGTGGATTTGTGCCTATACACAAAAGAACTCTGCTGCTTAAAATATGAGAAATATCCAAAAAGAGATCTTTGATTTAAAAACTGTCAAACTTAAGAGTTTTCTCCTGCTTGCCTTTGTATTTTCCCTTCCCTATTTTCAGTCACCTTTGTCTTCAAGTCTTCAGTGGAAATGTGTGTGGTGTTCCAGATGACCCTAGCCTGCTGTGAAAAAGGAGAGACTAAATTATGATGTCAGTGCATGTTATGTTTAAAAAGTGCTAAACATAGCAAGAATAGCAAATTAAAGGAGGAAGAGCG